GTCACACCATTGTGCTCAATCTATGCACACACATCTTTTATGGTGTTCTGTGTGTAGAGAATTCTGCAAATAAAGATTGTTCAAGTCTACAAAAATATGTGCAGAAACACATACTGTTGTTATACTTTTGCTTTTCTCCAAAACAAATTGGTGCTACATTCATGCACAACACATAATTATAGTTGTGTAAACAAAAATGATGCCTCTGTCAAATACAGTAAATGGAAAGGAAAACTTTGAGGAAAAAGAAATACAAAAAATCTATTAACCAAAAACAGAGGAAAGAAAAGTGCTTAGGCTGTTTTTTTACCACCTCACTGGGTCTGACCACAGCTCCTAATCAACCTGCAGAAGAAGCATGCACCTTTAGGCCTGACGGTCATACAGCTCCAACAGTTATGCTGCAAATAACTCTTCAACTGACTTCAGTTCACCCTCCCTCAGCTCTACCTCTTCCTCTTGCTGCTGTCAATGTTGTAAAAATGTCTTACATGGAGTATCTGGTGCTTGTTGTGGAATATTTTCCAAGGCCCATAACTTTGACCCAGTGTATCAGTTCAAACTGTCCTGACTGAGCACAGGCACCTGTAACCTTGGCTGCTGTGCTCTCAGTGTTTTGTCTCCCTGTTCCTGCCTGTTGGCGTCAGCTGATAGAGGTGTTATCATTCTATCTTGTTATGCAGCATGTTGATGATGCTCTCTGAACTAGCTAAATACATGGGTCTGGGGTAGAGTTCTTCAGAATTGACGTGGCAACTCTACCGTGAAGTCAGAACCTCTGACTCTTGGATTTGTGATGTGAATCCTCCGGCCGTTAACTCCAAATAAACCATCATGTGTTTGACATCAAAGCTACTGCTCCTACCGTGTCTCCTTCCTGAGTCGGTGACTCCCACTGCATAGCTACACAGAAGTTTCCTCTACAGTGCTTACATCCTGGTTGATAAGTCAACAATAAAGCAGTTTGGTGTTTATGTTCATTTATTGGCATATGCATGCAGTGGCGGCGCCAGAGATTTTCTCTAGGGGGTGCTGTGGGGTAGCTTGACGTTTCATAGAGGGTGCTCAAACATTAAGGGTTTCCCATTAATGCACCAGCGCTAGTTTAATTTTCTACTGCAACACTGCCCACACAGTGTACCCGCGACTATTACAATGAAGGCTCGGTAATCAGCTCACGGCATATAGGTGTAAGCAGGGGTAAAGTGCTATTTTTAGTGTGGACCTTACCTCCTCTAGGAGGGTCCTCACCTTTTCTAGTGGGGTCCGGGGGAGCTTGCTTATATTTTTTTAAATATTGAAGTTAAAAGCATCAATCTGGTGCACTTTGAGAGCAAAATGAAGAGATCTATGGATATACTGTATCTCTCAACATACATATGAAACAGAACTGTAAACAGATTTTCTATTTCTTTATAGATATTTTACAAATCACTCCCCTTTTAAAACAAACCGTTTGAGACCCACTGAGATAACTAGACTAAAGTTAACTATCTAAACACTGAGAGTCCTTTACTTCACCTGAGCTGAGGTTATCTGAGACTCTCAGTCTGACAGGAGAGAGTTCTCCCTCCACCTTGTTGTTGAAAAAGCTCCTTATATCCGTTAGCTTGGCTAGCTAGCACCAGATGCTAACCACAACGATCTCCGGTAGATACCCACCGGTGCGCTCTCTCTCTCTCTCGCTCGCTTGCCAGAGCTTGAATTAAACACTGTTGCGGCTTTCACACCAGCGCTTTTCCCTTTCTAGCTCCGAGCTAGAGCTTTTCTGGTTCAGCTCCGGTTTCCCTTTTCTGCTGCCGCTCTGTTCACACCGCCCAGCACCCGACTGGTGCTGCCGCTGCTGCGTCATGACGTCACCGTTTACATCGCTGATTTGCTCCCCAACGGCATTACGGCGCTCACAACAACGGGGAACTGCGTCGGGTCGATGATCGTGTTGCTTTTAATCACACGAAGCCAGATTAAATTGAATAACGACTTCTCCAACCATATACTTTGCTCCAGAGTGCCGTGGTTCATTGTTTATTAATGTGTTTCTGCAGCATTTACCGACCGCTGGCTGCTCTTCCACGGGAGTTTATTCTCCTCCGTTAGCTCCCGGTTAGCTCACACTGCTGCGGCCGCTCTAAAGTATTCACTGTCCGACTCACACAAGCAGCTGATACATATCCCCAGTTCCCCTTAGCCTGTGAATGTGTGTCAGTCTGAATTGACTATGTTTGGTATCACAACGCTGTTATGAAAGTTTCTCTGGTATAAAATGGGTGATGTTGGCATAGCAACCGAAGCTAAACTGACTACTTGCTATTGCTATCCTATTGTGGCATAAACCGTTTTCTACAGGCACATTTTACCGGCGTATTTTTATTATGATTCTACTTGTGATAGTCGGACACGACAACCTGTGCAGCCCATGTATTAATTCCATCCGATAGCTGCTATAATACAAAACGTCTGCCTCTCTCCACAATGATCAATAACAGTGAACGGATGGTCAAAGTAAGGTACAAATAAACAGAATCACACGAAGCCTGGTTAGTGTTGCCTGACTTTATAAAGTGTGTTTATAAGCACTACTGCTTGTAGGCAGGCATGACAGTCGACCCATGTTCAGGGGAGGAGGGTTTAGTTTCCTGCACGCCTCGAAGTAAGAGAGACGTAAGCGACGCCACCTCTTAGCTCCGAAGCTCTTGCCTCTAGACCGACAATTTTTTGGAGCTGGAAGTGAACCCGATTCCGGAGCTAAGAGCCGGCGCCGCTGCGGTGTGAACAGGGAAAACCGGCGCTTTTCAGGCTCCAGCTCCGAGCCGGAGCTGAAAAAGCGCTGGTGTGAAAGGGGCAAGAGACCCAGAAGTAAGCTACTTGTACTCACGAGGCCTACTATGTGCAGAATCCCTCTTGCTTTCAGTTGGTTTTGATTGAGTGTCCACACGTGGACGTTTAAGGACTAAAAAACGATCCATTTGTCACTTTGCTGTTAGCAAATAATTTGGGGCTCCAGCTAACAGGAAGTCACTCAAGTGTCACAAAGTAATTTAGCCTATGGGTAGGTCAAAAATCTAATGGGTGCTGGCCATTGGCCTAATCATATCACCTGTGTTGGCTTTATGTTTTTGGTCAAACATTTGTTTGTTTCACATTTGCATTGATGTAATCAATAATTTTTCAGATTTAATTTAATAAAAATAATAATAATAATTTTCGAAAAAAAACAAAAAACACATATTTCTTGGGGGTACTTAGGGGGTGCTTTGGCAATCCTGGGGGGTGCTTCAGCACCCCCTAGCTCCCCCTGGCGCCGCCCCTGTGTGCATGAGGGCGAACAAGTGAATATGTCAGATTTCTATGGGCATAGATATGTCTCATAATTATTTGTGTGAACATAAAAATAATTTGTGTGTAAATATGTGATTTGTAAATGTAAAACAACATCCACAAATGCATTTAAAAGATTTGCAAACTCACAAATACATTTGCAAGTGTAAAACGGATCTGCAAATACGCTAAATATGTTCACAAATTAAAAAAAAGATCTGTGAATATCTCTTTAACATTTACACCTTTCGATCAGGCATTTGTAAATCCATTTTGTATTTGTGGACCAAAAATGCGCTTGCGGATCTCAAATCTCTGTTCACGGATCTCAAATCTCTGTTCGCGGGTCGTCTTTTTACACACACGGAATTTTGAGACATATTTTCCGCCGGTCTCGGCTAAAATCTACTCGTGTCACTCGGTTATTTTTCGGAAACCACGTGATGGCCTGCTGATGACGACATTTCCGCATGATTTCAAAGTAAGCATGATGGTTTGTTTAATGCTCTGTTTTTGTATTATAATGAACAGTGGAACGTTAGATGCATTCTTCATCACCATCACCATCATCATCATGTTATAGTGATACAGTTAGTTTGTGTTATTGGTTCAATATAGCATATATCGAGCACTTTCGTTGATGTTGAAGTGCAGGCTATAGCCTACGCCACTTTCGGGTCCCGAGGGAGGAGCTGGCAGCGAAGCAGCCCAGATAAAACTCTTTCTTCATTGTTTGTTGTGTATTCAGTCAAGCGGGTCGAAGTTACAAAGCACTTCACATCTTATTAATCGGCCTAATTTTACCTTACCAGTGCAGTAATAAAGTAATCTGTAGAAAAGCACCGTATTTAGGTCAGGGTTATGGTGATGAAGAATACATCTAACGTTCCGCTGTTCATTATAATACAAAAACAGAGCATTAAACAAACCATCATGCTCTTACTTTGAAATCATGCGGAAATGTCGTCATCAGCAGGCCATCACGTGGTTTCCGAAAATAACCGAGTGACACGAGTAGATTTTAGCCGAGACCGGCGGAAAAAATGTCTCAAAATTCCGTGTGTAAAAAGACGATCCGCGAACAGAGATTTGAGATCCGTGAACAGAGATTTGAGATCCGCAAGCGCATTTTTGGTCCACAAATACAAAATGGATTCACAAATGCCTGATCGAAAGGTGTAAATGTTAAAGAGATAATCACAGATCTTTTTTTTTATTTGTGAATATTTAGCGTATTTGCAGATCCGTTTTACACTTGCAAATGTATTTGTGAGTTTGCAAATCTTTTAAATGCATTTGTGGATGTTGTTTTAAATTTACAAATCACATATTTACACACAAATTATTTTTATGTTCACACAAATAATTATGAGACATATCTAGGTTTCTGTCTTACTTAGATAACTGTGTGCAATGCCTTGCAAAAAGTCCCAAGTTGAATTAAAAATTGGGTGCAGAACTGAAAATGTGTAAATGTTTTGAGCTGATGTTTTGCTCTTTCAGTGTCAGTTCAAATAATAATGCTTTACGGGTTATTTGAGTGTGTTAGATAGTGTTTTAAATAGCGCTACTTAAAGAGCTGTACAACCATCCACCCGTCATTACACTGGGCGGAGCTTTGGCGCCCTCTGGTGTTGTAAAACAGGAAGTCCGGATCGCTTGGTAGATCCGGTCTTCCTCAGCCAACCAGGAAAGAGGGCTTGTCGGGATCTGGACTGAGGCGGATGAGACCAGAAACCTTTGTTCTGTCTCCTCTCGCTCCTCGCCGTTAAACAGCAGCCTGTCAATGCTTCCGGACAAACTGCTCGCGGTTCTGTGAGTGGGATACCTCAGAAGGATGCTCTCTGAATGAGACATCAGCAGCTACTATTGACTCGGTTTTTCATATTTTTCCTGCTCGCTACAGCCCGAGGGGGACGTCTGCTCGTGTTGTTCCTGTCAGCTGCTAAATGGAAATAAAACGGGGATCTGATCAAGGTGCGTGCAATGAAAACCCGCGTTTTAGTGATCTCTGTGATCAGTGAGTTTACTCTGACCTCAAAATAATTCTGTATACACACTGTAGGGTTTCTATGCATGCTAACCTGATCCACGGTGAACTGTAGCGGTCTGTGCTGTCTTATGTGTATCCCGCCACCAGGGACCGAGCTCCTGTAGTTAGCCTAGTCCTGGTCGAGGTTGTAGTTCTTCTGAGCTTCCTTCATCAGAAATGCAATGGCTGCTCGGCGGATGTGAGTTTGTTTACAGCCTGATGGATGCTGTTGTCAGGGCACCTGGCGGGGCACCTCTGTCCTGTCAGTGTTTCAGCAGACACTTTGCCAATATAAATCAAATTCACTCATGCAAAGAGTGCTCTCTGCCAGCATGCAGTGTCAGGTGCTGTTAGCACAGTTAGCTGATAGTGAGGCAAAGTAGTGAGTAAACTGCCCCTTGTTTAAACAACAACATTGAGCTTAAAATATTGAAAACTGCCTCTACCTGTGTCTTGCCAAATATAAGAGTTTGTTTCCTTTTCCCCATGCAACATAATCATAGCCAACCTCTGAACATGTGTTGATGCATGTTAGAGAACCTACATTATGTAGCCATCATCCTTTTTTAAATGTAGCGTCAAAGCTGAATAATTCTCTTCCACTAGCAGTGGAGCAGAATGAGTGGTCATTCTAGATTCTCTAAAACAGAAAATAAAATGTTGTGATATTATTACAACATTTATGTTCCGGAAGTGGCTTCTTATCTCACCATCTCCTCCAGCTGATGGGGTGTTATCACTAAACCATATGAGAAATGGTTGATTTAAATAAATACTAGGGGATCGTGTCTGTTTGTTTATTATTGGCAAAAGTTAAATGAATCTGTATATGTTCAAAATCATTATTTTTTAGAAACAGTATAAGGTCATATTGCCCAGTACTATGTGTTTTTAAGGGAAATTAACTATAAACGTGTAATGCAACCAATGGAGGTGTCTTATGTTTACCTGCTCACTGGGTCACCTGTGCTGTTTACTCCTGTTGTCCATCAGGTTGGTTTTAAACACTCTCTTGTGCTGAACAATGCAGAATTGCCTGTTATAATCCTCATTATAACAGGCTGAATGAGACAAGTTTGGAATGGATGAAGTGTTGATAACATCTCTGACTCCCCCCCCCCCCCCCCCCCCCCCCCAGGTAATGGTCTCCCAGCCCACTATGTGCGCCTCCTGGCCCCGCCCCTGCAGCTCCTGTCAGCCGCAGTGTGGCAAGTAGTGCAGCAGGGACATGTGGACCGCTATGGGATGCTGGAGGAGTTTGTTACCATGGTGACGGAACTGGTCCCAGAGCTGATGAGCTACAGTCAGAGGGCTCAGCTCATCCTGGGCCTCAGGGCCAGGGTCAGTAACAAGCACTGTTCAAAACATACACACACACACATGCTGATTTTGCTTGTTTGTTTGTTGTTGGAAAAAAATCCAAAACTCTAAGTGGAAAAAAAACTTACTTAGGAATAGAGGCAGCAGATGAACAGCAACTCCAAGTAACTCTGCCAGAGGAGATATGTTTTTGTAAACAGAGTCTGGTGGCGTTAAGGAGATCATAAAAACACAATGCGTACACCTTAAATCATCTTAAATAAGCTGTAACTCATGTCTGTGTCTCCAAACTGAATCCTGCCGACCACATAGTTGTCTATAAGACACTGACTATGGATGAATACCTCTTACATCTCCACTTAGAACAAACCAAATATATTTTACTATTTACAAAATGGAAAAAGAGAGCAAAGATAAAACTAAGTTCTCCATTAGCTGTAGTCAAGTGTTTCTCACGGTGTGTGTGTGTGTGTGTGTGTGTGTGTGTGTGTGTGTGTGTGTGTGTGTGTGTGGTGTGTGTGTGTGTGTGTGTGTGTGTGTGTGTGTGTGTGTGTGTGTGTGTGTGTGTGTGTGTGTGTGTGTGTGTGTGTGTGTGTGTGTGGTGTGTGTGTGTGTGTGTGTGTGTGTGTGTGTGTGTGTGTGTGTGTGTGTGTGTGTGTGTGTGTGTGTGTGTGTGTGTGTGTGTGTGTGTGTGTGTGTGTGTGTGTGTGTGTGTGTGTGTGTGTGTGTGTGTGTGCAGCTGGTTCTGGAGATGTGTCGGGGTGAGCACCCAGTGGACATGCAGAACATTCAGCCCCATCTGGACAGAATTAAAGCCCCCGTCAGCACTGCCAAGGATCACCATGTAAGTAAACTGTCACTGGAACACACATCTGTTTTCTCTCTGGTGTGGATGTGTATGGGTCACTTAGGATTGATTGAGGGTCCTGACTTTTGGGTTGTTTAAACCTGGTTGTTTAAACCTGCTAAAACCAAGAGCACACAGTTGGTTAGGGGGATTTGATGTGAATATAGTTGAGATGGGATAAAGTTATGTTTTCAGTTCCTTTGATTTGAGCCTTCTTGTGTTCATATTGCTGTGTACAGGTAACCATCAACCAGGTGGAGGAATCTGAGGTCAACTTTGTGGAGTTGGTGCATTCATTACTGGAGGATCCGTCGGAAAGAACTTATTTTTTCCAGGTGAGACAGCACTCACTTTTGTTTCAGGGTATTTCCTTAGATGGTTGAGAACATTTCACCGGTTACAATGAAACAGTCTTGCAGTTAGATGCAATAAAGGAGCAGTATGAATTGAAAGAACCCTTCTCATTTTTATTTGCCTCTTATGCAGTTTTCATGTCCTATATACATTACGAGAGGGATGTGTATAACAGAGGTGCACATTAACATAGAGTGGAACAATCCAGCAAGGTTTATAACAGACAAACAAAAACATTTATTTGATTAGGAGCAGTGTTGGGGTAGAGATCGAAATGCTGTTTCTCACAATACAAATAGAAATATCAAAAAAATATATATATTCATATAAGTACTGTATATATTCATACATACACTCCTGTACACCCACTTATATATTTATATATATATTTATACCCATCCATAATCAAACATAGACACATATAGGTATACAAAGAGAGAGAGTTCAGCATCCTGACAGCCTGGTGAAAAAAAGCATTTTTTAGTCTGGTGGAGCTCGATTGGAGGCTGTGCTGTGGTGGACCCAGCATCCCGCAATGCTGAGTGCTTTGCGAGTGAGGCGGGTGTTGTAGAGGTCCAGGAGTGATGGGAGTGAGGCACCAATGATCCTCTCAGCAGTGTTCACGATGGGAGTGAGGCACCGAGGATCCTCTCAGCTGTGTTCAGGTTCGATGCTGTGCAGCTTCCGAACCACACCGTGATGCAGCTGCTGAGGATGCTCTCGATGGCGCCTCGGTAGAAGGAGAGCATGATGGGGGGGGGGAAGCTCCTGCTCTCTTTAGTTTGCGGACGAAGTAGAGGCGCTGCTGGGCGGTAGTCATTGAAGCAGAATGGAGATGACTACTTCGGCACTGGTAAGATGGTGGTCTCTTTGAAGCACGAGGGAACAACAGCCTGGCTCAGGGAGACGTTGAAGATGTCTGTGAGGACATCTGTGATCTCAGCTGTGCAGTCTTTCAACAGGAATGTTGTAAAAAAGAAAGGAAAGCTTTTCAGGTGTTAATCCTTAACAGTGTGCTCCTCACACTAACTGGGGTTGTGTTCTGCAACTAGTTAGGAGACCAAGTAACCTTTTCTCTTGGTGGTAAAACTCTGAATCAGCTCATTGTTAACTCTATAAAGTGTGGCTGTGTCTGTCGTACATAAGAAACCCATTCTCACCAAATCTCTTCACTAGTAGGCGAAGAGAGAAAGTCATTTCTAATATCTAGTCATATCTAATGAGTCATTTTTAACAACCTGGTTGCAATTCATAATTCAATGCAAATAATTTGTGGTAGATCCCTATACAAAATCAAATTCCCTGTAAATGGTGAGCTTAATAAATAATCTGAATAGTACAATTAAAACAACCTTTACACAGACAAGATAATCTATTTATACTCGGGTTGTCTTGATTGCATTATATAGATTCAGAACAAAGGAGAACCATTCCCTATTCTTTCAATTAGTGTCATCCTATCTGAATATCTCTGAAGGTGAGGTCAGTCCCAACGACAACTCTTAAAATGTCCTTCTCTCTCATTTGCAGAAAATCTTCCCCGTCTACTTTGGCTCAAAGTACGATGCTGCACTTGAGATGCTGGTGTGGGAGTTCATATCCAGACTGGAGGAGTTGCTGCCAGTTCCAGACTTCACACAGGTACTCCAGCTTTATTAACCAACGACATGATGGATAATGTTCTGCCAGCAGTTCATTTAAAAATGTACACCCAAAGGGTAATGCTAAGACCTACGTTATTACATTACATTGCATTTAGCTGACGCTTTTATCCAAAGCGACTTACAATAAGTGCATTCGACCAAGAAGACACAACCTTGAAGAAAACAGAATCATATAAGTACATCAGGTTTCATAGAGCCAAACATTTCAAGTGCTACTCAACTGGCTTTAGGTAAGCCAGTCCTTTATTAGTATAAAAGTGCTTCGTTAATAGTTCTATCGCTCGAAGTGGAGTCGAAAGAGATGAGTTTTCAGTCTGCGCCGGAAGATGTGCAAGCTATCTGCCGTCCTGATGTCAATGGGGAGCTCATTCCACCATCTTGGAGCCAGGATAGCAAACCAACGTGTTTTTGCTGATGGGAACTTGGGTCCCCCTCGCAGCGAGGGTGCAGCGAGCTGTTTGGCCGATGCAGAGCGTAGTGCACGTGCTGGGGTGTACAGTTTAACCATGTCTTGGATGTAGGAAGGGCCAGATCCATTTGCAGCATGGTAAGCAAGTACCAGTGTCTTGGAGTGGATTCTAGCAGTTACCGGAAGCCAGTGAAGGGAGCGGAGGAGCGGAGTGGTGTGGGAGAATTTAGGAAGGTTGAAGACCAGGCGAGCCGCTGCATTCTGGATGAGCTGCAGAGGTCGGATGGCACATGCAGGTAGACCAGCCAGGAGGGAGTTGCAGTAGTCTAGGCGTGAGATGACGAGAGTCTGGACCAGAACCTGCGTCGCTTTCTGGGTCAGCTGGGGACGCATCCTCCTGATGTTGTAAAGCGTGCCATAATAATGTCACCTAATGTTATTGAGTTAAAATATTAATATTGTGGATTTCCAAGTTAACATTGATTGATATGACTGTGATTAAATCAGCATATACTTCTGCCAGGGGATGCCACCCTTCAAAATCTCCTGCCACCCTCTTGCCACCCCATGAATATTTGTCTAGATCCGCCCCTAATGATAAGTAATGTGTCCTGTTAATAATAGCAGTGTTCTGCTATTTAGAAATAATAGACCGTAGAATGCCGTAATTAACCAACCAGAGTCAAGGATTTGACAAAGCCATGTAATAAATAATAATAAATAAACTAGAAGTAATTTGAGTTACATAGTTCTTGAGAGTTAACTTCTGTTACCCCACTATTTATTTGTTTGTATGTCACCAACATATCTCATTAACTAATGGATGAATTGGAATGAAATATGCTGTGTACAAACTGTTTTAGTGACCCTCTGAGCTTTCCTCTGGTGCTTTAAGAACCACATTGCTGCTTGCACTATGCTTATGTAACAGGTCCCATTTGGACTTAAGGTCCTTTACACATCAAACTGACACCAAAGAACACGTCCCGACGGAACGTCGCCCCACTTCTCCTGCGTCTTGCCCATTTTTCGCACTGGAACACACCGCAAAGACTTCAGCCGACGGCCAAGTTGCACGTACGGACTGCGCATGCGTAAGTGGCAATAACTCTCCTTACCAGCAGGCGGCAGTAGTTTGTATTCGTCATTAAAAAGAGGCAACAACTGAAAGACAGACTGCTTGATAACCGAGAGAAGAAGAACAGACTGCGTGACAAACAACAAATAGCGTGTGCGTTCCATTTTCACTCTACAGCGAGAAGCTCATGGGGCTTTCCCGAACCTGTGTCGAGAGCTGGAGTTAAATGAAATCTCAGATTTGCCTTCTTAATAGTTTGTCTGGGTCCCTCACTTCCGTTTCGCTTCTTGTGCACTGATTCGCTAAGCTGAACAGCCAATCATAGTGATTTATTTGGCAGACGGCCTTTAGCCTCCCGATTCAACATGTCGAATCGGCGGCGGAAGGTGTCGGCACGGCCGAAAAGACACACCAATCTGAGTAGGGCGACACGACGCTCATCGACGGCCCGACATCTATCGACGCCAAAAATCGACTTGGTGTGTAAAGGCCCTGACACACCTACTCGATTTTGGGAGTCAGGCAGTCGGGCATTCGCTGCGCCCTACTCAGGTTGGTGTGTCCCGCACCGTCGTTGCTTTACGGCACATTTTCACACCTCCCGCGAACCAAAGAAATCACTCCGATTGGCTGTTGCCTCTTTGAATGACGAATACACACTACCGCTGCCTGCTGGTAAGGACAGTTATTGCCACTCGTCGACTCAAGTCTTTGCGGTGTGTTCGTAGGCGGGCGGCATAGGCGGGCGGCGTAGGCGGGCGGCGTAGGCGGGCGGCGTAGGCGGGCGGCGTAAGCGGGCGGCATAGGCGGGCGGCGTAGCCGACGCAGGCGACGTAGCGGACGTAAAGTTGGGACGCCTTCGGTACGCGTCCTTTGGTCTCAGGTTGGTGTGTAGTGGCCTTAAGGACCTTTAGGTTATATCCATATTGTGTTAACTGGCATCTGCAGCTCTACCTGGGGACGTTATCAGCCCCTGGGGGGGTCTGCACTCTGCATTACGTGCTCTACCTCATCCATCAGAATAAACCAAATGCAGCACAGAGGAGTGTATCACCAGGAAAAAAGCTCTGGCATTATTCCAAACTGAACTGCTTGTTTTTCCCAGCTGACTGAGGCACACAGACTCATCTGTCTGCACCACTGACCCAGAGACAGACACAGAGAGGGGGGAGTTAACATGGTTCAGGTGCAACACAGTGTCCCAGCAGGCTGCTCCATCCTCTCCCTCCTCTGTACCGAGCTGTGGCTAGTAAACAAAGTCAGACAGGATAGTGAATGCAGGATTACTAAAGCCTGTAACTTGATCTCTCCTCTCAGTTGGCTACTTTGCTCGGAGACTCTCCTTCCTTTCTAGACGACTGTTTACAATCCTTTTTCCCGCCGGAAGACATGAAGGCTGTACTTGAACACCACAGAAACCTTGGGCATTTTGGAGAGAAAGGTGAACAACAACCAGCCTTTGTTTAGTTTCTTAAAGCCTTTTCTTGTTTTGTGATTCGAACCTGGCTTGGGTCTGATTTTTATTTTTTATTTCCTAATTGTAGATCCTAGATTATTACCAATGGATGACTGCATCCTCTCCTCCCTGTCTCTGCCTCCTGGGTCCAAACATGTCATGAACACCACCTCGCCTGCTCACAGGGATTTACACTTCTCAGAGAGCAAAGGACGTTTTGACGCTCTCTTGAACACCAGCAGCCTGGAGAGGGCGAGCAGGAGGAGCTCTGAGACGGTGAGACAGAGCCTGAAGGACACCCGGCAGGTCAGAGGAGGGAGCGTCTCTCAGGAGAGGAAGCTGCAGAGCTCAGTCAGCGCTGACACCATCGACCTCACTGTGTCCGGGGAGACCGCGGCCACAGACCCAGCAGCCAATGACAACAGCCAAAGTTTGAGAGGAGGGCGGGTTCTCAGGAAGAGGAAGCTGAGCGGAGGCGCGGACATTCCCACTAAACAGCAAGCAGCGGCTTTCCTGTGAGATTACCACACGTTTGGTTCATTTTTAAAACACAAAGACATTACAGGGGGGTTAAAACCTCCTGGCTTTAGGGGTTGCCACTTAGGTTAGCACCAACATTAGATCAAATGTTTAATATGTCAAACCCGTTTGTTTTAAACCTGCAAACATAATGACATTCCCATTAGCCTCAGCTAATGCTAATCTTAGCTTGAAGGGCATGCCCATATTAAACACCATTCCACATTATTCAATTTTTGTTTAATGTCTTCTGCTCAGTTGTGTTGCTTCATGTGCTTCTTTTCATTATAATCTTCTAAAACACAATGTGTAACCAAAGCTTTGACTTAAAACATCCAAGTTTCCATCTCTTTTCATGACATAAACAACTATTTTGTTAAATCCCTCATTGAGATACACTTTGCATTAAAGAAAACGTTTTAAAGTAAAACATTTTGTTTTCCGAGCAGAAATTCATCAGTGGAAGGCGGGAATTCGGATGAATCTCCTCTAATCTCGATATGGGGAAAATACACAGGTTGGTACAGTTAATGTACCGATTAGTGGATATTTGTGTGTATCCGCCTTGACTCTAACTCTACCTGTTTCATTTTTAGACTCTTTGGAAGAGTCTCTCCCAGCTGTGACGGACTCAAAGGTTCCCTGGTCGGACGAGGAGACCCTCAATCTGCTGGACATCTGGGGGAATGACTCTGTGCAGCGGGCTCTAAAGGGCTGCTCTAAAAACCGTCACATTTTTACTCAGATCGCTCAGAAGATAGCAGAGAGAGGGTACCCAAGAACCGTGGAACAGTGCCAGACCAGGATTAAAAGACTGAAGAAGAGCTTCCGCAGGTTAGTGTTCAATCAACTTTCTGTCAAGTCATTGCAATCTGAACTCCCCTCCTTAGACCTTGGATGTAATTTTTGTTTTATTGAAACAAAAACCATGTTGCCTTTCTCCTTTTTCTGACACTAGAGGGAGCTCCAAGCTGGAGAATAAATTTTACGAGCTGCTGAAGAGGGTCCTGGGCTCCTCAGGCCCCTCAGCTGTCCCTCAGGTCACCTATGATGTGGAAGAGGTCATCGATGAAGACGAGTCCCGAGACGGAGAGGATGACCTGCAATTCCTCGGCCATACGAACCAACCGGAAATAGGTACATTCAGATAGTAGTAAAAAAAACTTTAATTATAATTTCCCGAAACAAATGTCCCGATTTCTGCCTGTTTTTTTCCGACTCTGAATATAATCAGTTTACTATCATATATAAAATCTGCAGGTTGATTCTCTCTCAATCTACAAATGTATTTTGTAATTTAAATCAAATAAAAGCATTATTAAAGATTTGTAGTGTATTTTATCTATATATGCATATACAAATCATAATCAAGATATTAATAAATGTCATGTTTTTACTTGACAGTCAATCATATTTCTGAAGGAACGAGAAGCGTTCCATGGACGGACGCTGAGACGCTGGGCCTCATCACCATGTGGGGCGAGGAGCAGATGCAGCAGGAGCTGAGGGGGACGCACCGGACCGGACACATGTTCCCCACCATATCAAACAAGATGGCCGCCCAGGGCTTCTCCCGAACACCGGAACAGTGCCAGAGGAGGCTGAAGAGGCTGAAGGCAAATTTCAGGCAATGCTACCAAAACAAGTATGTGAACTCGCAGAAAGAGGGTGATGGGAAAAGCCTGTGGTAATTGTTGAGTTACAGTGTTAATCTGCTCTCTTCTTATCCTTTGTTGAAGCCTGGAAGGACAGGAGCAAGTTCCCTTCAAGTTTTACAGTGAACTGGGAAGGATCTTAGTGAAGGACTTCCCTTCAGTGCCACAGCCGGAGGAAACAGCCGGAGAGCCTGAACACGACGACTTCCCCTCATTCTCCCATCAGGACATCGGTAAACTTCAATGTTCTGTCAAATAAAACATATTTTAGACAATAAATGGAACATTTTGTGTCACAACATCCTAACACTAAATGGATTGTCATTAATGAATAAGTTTTAATGATTTTATTGGCATGTTCTTTTCTTTTTGTGTCTCCTCAGAGTCTGCTGTGGGTGTTCAGGAAGACAGGAGGAAAGTCCCCTGGTCGGACAAAGAGACCATCATCCTTCTGGAGATCTGGGGAGACCCACAGGTAAACAGAAATAATGTAGATAGTTATGCCTGATAATAAGGCTGTACTGCCTTTTCAGAAATCATAGATACAGGCAGCGATTCAGAGATCCAGGCTAAACATTTGATCATAGAGGATGCTTTTTTACTTCTCTTTAAGTGGATCTCTTGATTGTCTCTGGAAACGGATGTGGCAAATGTTTGCTTTTTATGGGCTCGAGGAGAGGGGGAGACCCTGCGCTGTTGGCAGGAGAGCTGTAGGCTGCGGTTACCACTCGCAGATACAATACAATATCATTGAATTCATGTCTTGGCTTTTTTGTATTGATAAGTTGCTTCATTTGTTGTCTTTGCAACAGTAGCGCCAACATGAATACCACTTGAAACGATAGAGGGAAGAAAGTTGTTTATTGCCACTTTAAATATATATTTTGTATTGCCACCTTCATTAAGAATTTCCCCTACATTTAGGTCCAGCAGAGCATGAGACGCTACCCACACAACGGTCACATTTTCACGGAAATATCTGAGAAACTCGCGGCTAACGGCTACTCCCGCAGCGCAGGCCAGTGCCACACCAGGATCAAACGGCTGAAGGCTAACTACAGGCAGTGTCAGGAGAACATGAGGTAGGTGCTGCACAGATTCATGTCCCCGTCTGGACTGATGGTAGGACACATGTGTTAATACAACCTCCTCCTGTCTGTAGCTCATCTGGGACTGACAAAATCGACTTCAAGTTTTACGATCTGCTGGAACAAATCTTGGAGAAGCAACCGTCCACATCCTCCACCGTGGTAACAGACTCCATCGAAATATCTGAAGACTCTAATGTGGAATCGGTGACCGAAACAGGTAAAAAAATTCCCCCCATTTACTATCTGCAGGGGTTATTATGGCAGCATTACTGAAGAGGACACTCTTATGGACATATGTATCGGTTTAAAATGTAAATTAACAAAGAATGCTAGCATGTACGCTAACATGCAGATTATTAGATTATTTTGCAAGGACGCTGCTAACTCTTCATGTCAACAACTACAGTATATTTGTATGCTTTACAAAGACAAATCAAATGTCTTCACTTGTGAAATGGTGCATATACTCTATAAACTCTGTTTCTGCTGACAGATGGAGAAGCCAGCATGTCGACAGAGAAAGCTCCACCCAGCTTGTGGTCCGACGAGGAGACGCTGGCTCTGATCGAGGTCTGGGGCGACGAAGACGTCCAGAGAGCGCTGAGGGGATTCATCCACAACGGACACGTCTACGCCGACATTTCGGAGAGAATGCACAACCTCGGCTACTCCAAGAGCTCGGACCAGTGCCGCTGGAAAGTCAAGTCACTGAGGAACAACTTCCGACAGTGCTGCGAAAGGAAAAAGTAAGACCAAGTCACTTTATCAGTGTGCACATATAATCCAATACGACACTAATGGTTCATATTCACTTTCTATAGGTGTGGAAGAAGAATAGATTATAGATTCTACCCACAGCTTGAAGAAATCCTCGGACAGGAAGCAGGTCCTGTTGATGAGTATGAGGAAAAAGAGGAACAAGCAGACCAGGATCCAGGTCCAGATGGAGTGACCACAGCGTGGACGGAGCAGGAGACGGTGGCCCTCGTGGAGGTGTGGGCGGAAGACGACGTGCAGCACGGCCTGAAGACCTGCGTCCGCAACGGGCACATATTCGCTGACATATCGGAAAGAATGACCGCCGTGGGATGGCCGAGGACGGCGGAGCAGTGCCACTCCCGGATCAAGAGGTTGAAGAAGAGCTACAGGCGGTACTGCAACAGCTGGAGGTAAGTTAAAGGGTTGATTGATCGTCAGAAAATATAAGAGGCCCCGTTATGTTCTTTGGGGTGTTCCCTTCCCTGTAGTGTGTTATGTAGGTTTCTATGCATGTAATGGTCTGCAGAGGCTAAAATCTCTGTGTTGCCTCCAAAGGGAGTTCCTCTCCCACACACATTAAGACCAGTTTTACCCTGGCATGATTGACTTTTTCCAGAAGTGGAGCACGCACCACTGTGTTCCGATACTTCCACCTCCTGGCTCCGGTGCTCGGTGATGACTCTGTGAATGCTGATGTGGACAGTACTGCTGCTGACACCACCTTACAACCTCTTACAGACAATGATTCGGACATGGGTGGGTTCCAACATGATCAAACATCGGTATGATTGTGCAGATACTATGTCAGTTCAAAGCTGATTTAATCAAATTAATCTGTTCCTCCTCTTAGTGGAGCAGCCGTCCTCCAGCCAGCTCCTGGACCTGAGCAGGAAGACGCCCTGGTCGGACCAGGAGACCCGCACCCTGCTGGAGATCTGGGGGGAGGACAACGTGCAGCTCACCCTGAGGGGCTGCCTGAAGAACCGCCACGTGTTCGACTACATCTCTGAGAAGATGGGCGACGGAGGATACATAAGGTCCTCAGAGCAGTGCTACACCCGCATCAAGCGCCTTAAATACGGCTTCCTGCATGAAAAGTGAGTATTAACAAAACCCTTTTTCTCTTCTAAAGCCATTTCTAATTGTTAAAAAATTGCTAATATGTTATTGGTGTTGTCATTAATAGCCAGCATCGAGAGGTTATTTATGTTGTTAATTAACTCACCAACCAATCACGGAACAGAGCAAAACGTAAAACGACGTTACACTTTATTACTACTTTTAACCTTGACGAAGGCAGCGCTTACCAGATCCACACAGAGTAAACTGAAATGCCTTGTGGCACTTTTTAAATACAAATTAAAAGAGTTTATCGTTTCTCCTGTGTAACCCAGAGGAGAGGCTCATGTGATGACCAATAATGATGTTCAAATTTGCTCTCTCAGTTTGGAATTTGGAAAAACTGACACCTCCTTTCTTTAAATTCAGAGAGGATTATAAATTCTACAGTGAGATGGATGAAATCTTCAGGAGAGAGCTGAAAGTGGACGACTCAGTCGCAGACACGCAGGACACAGAGGAGCCGGAGGACTGCACTCAAAAGAAAGGTGAAACTTCACAAAAACATTTACATATTTTTTAACATGAAGTGAAAGGATCAAACAAGCCATATAGAGACTCAAAGAAATCCAAATCTACAACATGAGAGCTCCTACTCAAAAATCATTTTGATTGTAGAAGCAATATCTGTATAACTATGTCTTGAATGATAGGATACTTCTCTAATGATATCCCTATTCTTACTTTTTAAGAAGGGGTACAGTATAGTCCTCTGTGTTTTATTTTCCACAAAAATATTTGTAAGAAAACACTATGTTGCATTTAGGTGTAGGCAGTTTACTATGTTTCTCATCTTAATTCCTGTAAATTAAACAGGATGACAGATTTCTTTTAACAATGATGGAAAAATCTGAAAGCCGTCCGTCATTTTGACAGATTAGAACAAACTCAGAACAGCGCCAAAGTGTCCCCGCAGCGGGGCTCTGGTGTTATGCCGTGTTATGCATGCCTGCCCCAAAAGGAAATGATGTATATTGATCTCTGAGTTTCCTCTCTGCTAGCGGCCTCAGGTGCTCAGTGGGTGGCCGACAGCTCCAAGCTGCCCTGGAGCGACGGAGAGACGGAGGCTCTGCTGGACCTGTGGGGCAGCGAGGAGGTGCAGGAGACCCTGAAGGGCTGCACCAAGAACAAACACATCTTCATCCAGATCTCTGAGGTCATGGTCAGCCAGGGCTACATGCGCACCCCCGAACAGTGTCAGACCAGAATAAAGAGGCTGAGGGCCAACTTCAGACACTTCCTAGAGGGCAGGAAGTAAGTGTTCACGCTGCACGTCTAAACATCCATACTCTGAATACCTCACAACATTTGATCCACCCTGGCAACACCTTCCTTCTCCTTTTAACAATAAGATCTGTTTCCTGTTTCCAGAGGGGAAAAACAGGAGTGCAAGTTTTTTGAGCAGCTGGTGCAGATATTTGGAAGCAAATATGTATCGAACTCTGACCCCCTGACCGAGGACGCAGCCGAGGACGTAGGTAAGGAGTCAGCGTGCTTTACGTGGTCCGTCATGATAGTGTGAGGCAGTGGCTTTATTAACCTGATAATGTACAGGAAAAACCATCAATCAATCAAACTGTATTTATATAGCATCATTTATACACAACATGTTACATAAAGTGCTTCACAAACCAGAAACGATTACAACAAAAAATCATAATTGATAAAAACACACAACAGAAGTCAATAAACACAGTACTGAATAAAGACATTTAAAAATGTTGGATAAAATAAATAAAAACCAGTGGGCTATGATTTTGTTAGTCTCTGCCATGCAACAGGAATTATTCTATATTTATATATATATATACACGATTTTGTTTGCTCCTGTTAAAACCTCAGAGATCATGTCACACCGACTCTGGGGAGGTTTTATAATTGGTTTTTTTTACAGTCTCAGCCTCCATTTAAAGCTACAGACAGAGAATCAGCACTTTTGGAACAGAGCTGAAACAGAGGGGTTTATGTGATGCTACAATGATCTGTTTTGTGTTTCAGCCAATCAGAGACAGGTTCTGTATATAACTGAGACCTGTTATATATTGGTGAAAAAGAGTATAGTAGTAAACTGATTAACACATTATATCTCAATGTCCTAATCCATAAAAATGGTGTGAAGCGTCACATTGTGGTTTTACAGTCAGTTATGAATTTTTGTTTTGATTGAGTGTTTGTACAGATTATGCCTGTATAAGTTATACAGCATATTTTTGTTTTACTTTGTTTATTGGGTTTTACAATAATATACCGTTGTTACATCAGAGCATATATCAAATTAAGAAGACAGATGTTCAGTGTAAAAGACAAAATAAAAAGCAATACTACTGTACGGGGGCTAGCTCTTCCCCCTGTTTTTATGCTAAGCTAACTGGCTGCTAGCTCTAGCTAGTAACCAAATGATCTTCTCTAAATCTCAGCAATAAAGCAAATAATTTATTTCCAAAAAATTATTTTAAAAAAGGAAACTTTTAACTATAATTAATTAATGTTGAGATTCTCATAAGACAAATCTGAAATGCACTTTCTTCATTGGCAAACTCACTGCCTTACTCACTACTTGACAGTACAGTAGCTAAGTCATATTCTCAGTTTAATATTTAATGATTCACGTTTTCCTTTCCAGAGACCTGAAACTGTCTGTAATCGTGAAGTGAAATAATGAGGAAGACTGAGGAACATCCAGAAGTGAAGAGGACACTTGAGCAGAAGCTGGTGGTGTGCTGCTGTGCACAGATGACGTCTGCCTGTGTACACACTTCAAATACTTTGACATTCTTCATGCACACAGGTTCTGTGTGTGTGTGTTTGTGACTTTCCGTCCCTCCACCAGAGTGTCTTTATATTATTTATAACAGAGCCATGACACTAAAACCAAAAGCTCAGGGCTCAAGGGATGAAAATGAATCTGTGATCTTGACCTGGAGGGAGTCACACATCACGCTGGGCTCCTCCAGAGTTTTTCTTTTTGCTAGTATATAGTTATTTTGTACTTGAACTAAAATGAGCGTATGAAAGCACAGGCCAAGAGAAACAAACACAAGGCCTCTTTAGTGTAACCACATCTGCTTTTTGCTCTTTATTCAGGTCTCACTTCTGTCCGTGCCATTGTTTACACTTTTTGCAATCTGCAGTAAATGTTGAACTCATGAAGCTAATCCTTTTTCCTTATTTTTTACACGGTATAAGTTGATCTTGTCCGCAATTTCAATTATTTATTTAAATTATTGTTTAACTTTGTATTTCAAAAGTTTACTGCTACTTTAATTATGTTACTTTTCAAACGTTAATGAAGAACATTTTTCCACAAGCGTATCAAGGTTTTGTCAAACCAATTAAAGGAACTTGATTTTTTTTAATGATTTGTTGTTGTGTGTTCATTTTGATTGACTAAGATTGAGAAACTACACTAACACCATTATGGAAGAAAAATAATAATCTTCAAATGAATAAAATGCAACGAGAAGGTAAATGTAACATCTATATGGATCACATAGTACATACAGTAAATACTATAAAGCACATTTAACGTATACTTCTAACCATTTTGAGGCAAATTCAAACTTAGTACAGTGTATATATATATATATATCACATCGCACAATGACAATTCTTGCATATATATGTTAAAATATTCTTTCAGACAGTACCTGTTTAAAATGGAAACATTTTATTTTCCTTTTTAAATAAATATAAATGTCATGTTCAAACAATACACGAAACAAGAGTATGAAACGCAATTTAAAGGGATCCTATTAAGCTTTTTCCCTTTTCTGTAGGTTTCTGTGCATGTAAATGGTCTGCAAAGACTAAAATCCCTGTGTTCCCTCCAGAGGGAGTTTGTTTACTTCCTGATGTAACACTTTCTATTTGCTAGCGCTCCAACACATTGTATATGAAAAGAGGTGCTGCAGCACAAGTAGTATGAGAACAATAAAGAGCTTTCTGAATATTAAAGCATGGAGACATGTAGAGACACTACATACTGATATACACCTGAACATCAGCAGGAGAGGACTCTTTAAAGTAGAGACACGACATACTGATATGAACCTGAACATCAGCAGGAGAGGACTCTTTAAAGTAGAGACACTACATACTGATATACACCTGAACATCAGCAGGAGAGGTCTCTTTAAAGTAGAGACACTACATACTGATACACACCTGAACATCAGCAGGAGAGGACTCTTTAAAGTAGAGACACTACATACTGATATACACCTGAACATCAGCAGGAGAGGACTCTTTAAAGTAGAGACACTACATACTGATATACAACCTGAACATCAGCAGGAGAGGACTCTTTAAAGTAGAGACACTACATACTGATATACACCTGAACATCAGCAGGAGAGGACTCTTTAAAGTGGAGACACTACATACTGATATACACCTGAACATCAGCAGGAGAGGACTCTTTAAAGTAGAGACACTACATACTGATATACACCTGAACATCAGCAGGAGAGGACTCTTTAAAGTAGAGACACTACATACTGATATACACCTGGACATTAGCAGGAGAGGGACTCTTTAAAGTAGAGACAACTACATACTGATATACACCTGAACATCAGCAGGAGAGGACTCTTTAAAGTAGAGACACTACATGCTGATATACACCTGAACATCAGCAGGAGAGGACTCTTTAAAGTAGAGACACTACATACTGATATACACCTGAACATCAGCAGGAGAGGACTCTTTAAAGTAGAGACACTACATACTGATATACACCTGAACATCAGCAGGAGAGGACTCTTTAAAGTAGAGACACTACATACTGATATACACCTGAACATCAGCAGGAGAGGACTCTTTAAAGTGGAGACACTACATACTGATATACACCTGAACATCAGCAGGAGAGGACTCTTTAAAGTAGAGACACTACATACTGATATACACCTGAACATCAGCAGGAGAGGACTCTTTAAAGTAGAGACACTACATACTGATATACACCTGGACATCAGCAGGAGAGGACTCTTTAAAGTAGAGACACTACATACTGATATACACCTGAACATCAGCAGGAGAGGACTCTTTAAAGTAGAGATACTACATACTGATATACACCTCAAAAAGAGGTAACCACAAAGCGATATTTAACTGAAAACACTAGGGAAATGTTTACTCAGAATTTCTCTTCCACACTTGCCCCTGCCAACATCTCAGTAAATGAGCTAGTAGATCATTTTAATTCAAAAATTAAAAATGTTATAGATGCCATTGCTCCAACTAAGGTAAAGGAAGTGTCTGGCAAGAAAATATCTCCATGGAGAAAGGCCATGAGCGTGAAAACAGAAAAAAGAGAATGTCGAAAAGCTGAACGCAGGTGGCGAAAAACAAATCTCCAGGTTCACTTGAACATCAGCAGGAGAGGACTCTTTAAAGTAGAGACACTACATACTGATATACACCTGAACATCAGCAGGAGAGGACTCTTTAAAGTAGAGACACTACATACTGATATACACCTGAACATCAGCAGGAGAGGACTCTTTAAAGTAGAGACACTACATACTGATATACACCTGAACATCAGCAGGAGAGGACTCTTTAAAGTAGAGACACTACATACTGATATACACCTGAACATCAGCAGGAGAGGACTCTTTAAAGTAGAGACACTACATACTGATATACACCTGAACATCAGCAGGAGAGGACTCTTTAAAGTAGAGACACTACTTACTGAAATACACCTGAACATCAGCAGGAGAGGACTCTTTAAAGTAGAGACACTACATACTGATATACACCTGAAAAAGAGCAGAATATGTCCTCTTTAAGATGTCTGACCTCACTGAGTCTCCCTTCATTACCCTCACATATTCCTGGTTGTAACATCATCTATTAGTGATGCTTGCACTGTCTGCAACTTGCTATTATTGCCCACTTGGTGGCACCAGTGGATAAAAGGTGATCTTAGTTGTCTAAAAAAATATTTTTAAGCCATAGTGGTTGTAAGTAAAACAAAACAAAATAACTCTTAGAAGCCGAACAAACTTATTTTTATTTATTTTTTCTTAAATCTCGTTTGTAGTTGTCTACAATCTCCTTTGACTGTATTTCAGGTCCTGACACATTATGGGACACATTCCTCCCATAATGTGTCAATATGCAAGCAGGGAAGATGTGTACCAGTGTCCCTGACATAAACACACTCCATGTAAAACACACACACACAGAGAGATTATTTAAATAGACACAGAGACAAAAACACACACGCAGCTCTCAAAAGCTAGGACAGTAATTACGTGTCTAAATCTGACAGAGCGTCCAACCGCCAATGTCTGGCTGCCTGCCAGTGTGTGTGTGTGTGTGTGTGTGTGTGTGTGTGTGTGTGTGTGTGTGTGTGTGTGTGTGTGTGTGTGTGTGTGTGTGTGTGTGTGTGTGTGTGTGTGTGTGTGTGTGTGTGTGTGTGTGTGTGTGTGTGTGTGTGTGTGTGTGTGTGCGTGGTTGTGTGGTTGTGTGGTTGTGCACTTGCATCGGTGTGTGTGACATTGGTAGAGACAGGCTGGCTGGAATCTGTTGAGGGAAGGGTTACTGAGGGTGTTGCTGTACTCAAGAACACACACAAACACACACACAGACACACACACACACACGCAAGAAAGGGCCAGGCAGTGCCACATCACCCACCTCACCCAACGGCCCATTTCACACCAACTCTCACCCTCACACACTGTTTAGCGTCCTGCAATACCACATAGACTCTCCTATAAATCTGTGATACCCATGTATTCTACTGCCAGCCAACATCTACTTGGGTTGTGTCTCCAACTGATAATGGAAGTCATATTTTGAGGTATTTCTGCTTAAGTATTTAAATGTTACTTCTACTTCACTACATCTCATCTCAATACTACTTTTGGAAAGGTTTAATTCAGTTTAAGATATATGGCATTTACATATTCTAGGCCTCTAAACTGAAACATGTCCCTGTCTCCTCTTTTTTTTCTTCCTGGTTTGTCAATCAAGATACAGATAGGTGACAAATGGAAATAAAAACCACCATAACATGAGTTCTCCAATTCTCATGAGCTCTACTCAAGGAATGACTATCATTCTTCCCCTAATTAGATGTCAAATCTCCGAAATCAGCCATAGCTGTTCCATTAGGGTAATATCGGATGACTTCAAAGACCGTAGCATGTGGTTTTCATACTACATTTCAGACTCCTTAAACAATTTAGTGACCCTTTGTGCTCCTTGGTCAAACAGTCACATGTCACAGGTCATGATAGGATGTTAATGTGACATGTATAATTGGTTATACATGACATATAAGGGTTCACTCTAAATTCTAAAGCCTACCACACAGGGGGGCATGCTGGGTTGTATAACATGCAACAGACTGAGACAGTCCTCCCCTGAGGGCAGACATTTTCACCAGAACACATTACTGCAACAGGCAGGCTCACGTTCTCTCTCTCTCTCTCTCTCTCTCTCTCTCTCTCTCTCTCTCTCTCTCTCTCTCTCTCTCTCTCTCTCTCTCTCTCTCTCTTCTCTCTCTCTCTCTCTCTCTCTCTCTCTCTCTCCTCTCTCTCTCTCTCTCTCTTTTTCTGTGTGTGTGTGTGCGTGTGTCCTGATCAGATATGCTATGTCCTCAACTGCAGGCACACATGTGAAAGACAGTACATGAGGACGAGGTACAGAGGAAGGAGGGGAGTTTATAGTTTAACACTGAGAAAGAAAGTCAAAGAACAAACGTCATGAAGAAGAAATGTAATGTGTGTGTGTGTGGGGGGGGGGGTCCTGCCTCCCTTGGGGTTGTGCACGGGCTTGTTGCAGCAACATTCCTCCACTCAGCTGCTTCTGAACAGCACATTCCTGTAAGAGAGAGATGGAAAGAGAAAACTGAGAGAGTAAAAGGGGGAAGAGAGAATATACTAAGAAAAAGAGTGAATTAAAGGGAGAAAGAGGGGGGTGAATAATGATGGGAGGATGTTAATAATCTATTAATGTTATAGTAAATATACTATGTAATTGATTCCTAGTGTAACCAGCTTCTCCACAGAGGGGTCCACAGGTCAGGGTCACATATAGTACAGTACAGAGAAAACAGAAGCAGTGCTGAGAAAAGGAAGTGACACGGAGAAGGGGGGGGGGTGGTCTCAGGGGGCCACAATGTATTTTCTTTAAATATTATTCCCCATATACATCCATAAAACACACATAGTGTACACACACAGTAAAGTAGAGGACTCATTGGAGTGTGTTCGTCCCCTCAGTGTGCTTGACCTGTTTCCAGTGAACTGTGGAAGAAATAAACAAATCTCACCACAAACACATTATGCTACAGCCATGATTATGCTTCTCTATAAAGACATAATATATTACACAAAGACTGGGCTCATTAGAGTTTATGGCTTGAAAATAAGAACACTAAAGTTTTTGATTAGTCAAATGATCAGATGAAAACATCACAAGACCATACAGAGACGGGTGACAATGCCCTACATTCCCTAGGTTGAGCTTCTCGTGTGTTTATTTGTGTGATTTCACCTGAATATGTTTTGGTTTCCGCTTTTGAATCTTTCAAATATTGATGTTGTTGTTGACTCAAATTTCACTTTTACTTTGGGAGCAGGGAGTAGAGGAGAAATAAACTCAGTCAAGAGAGGCACAGACGAGAGCAAAACAATTCTAAATGCTGTTATCAGACATGAAAACCAACTTTTCCTTCTGGGAGAGGAGAAGCTTCATAGAAAAGAAAACAAAAAAAGATTTACTGAGGATAACAAGCAAATAATCTTAAAGACAAGAGCAACAGAAAGCAGTCTGTGTGTGAGAGCTTGTTGGCTCAGTGATGGCGTCCTGCTCCTTCTCTCTCTTCCTCACACTGAATGGACGGTCTGTTTGTTGTCGCTGGTAGAACTAAAGGAAAACAATGCCACTCGATCCCCTTCTGTGTGTGTTTGTTGTTTATTGGAAGACGGTCAATCATGCATAAGTGTCTATTGAGTTCCTTTCCCCCAAACAGTTCTTTTCAGAATACTAATTTATCATTTTCTCTTTTATCGTCTTCTCTCCATCCCAGCAACTTTGTCTTTCCTTTTTGTCATTTGATATAAATGAGCTGGATGCTCCAAATTAGCATTATGAAACATTCATAAATGTAGAATATAACTCAACATATTTGACACACACACACGCACACGCACACGCACACGCACACACACACACACACACACACACACACACACACACACACACACACACACACACACTGAACATTAGTGGAAATGTTTCATGATAATGTGTTTCTATTTCTGGTCGTATTATAATCCAGATTATATATCTGACCCTTTAGGCTGTCAGCTGCTTCTTCCCTCTACCTCTCTCTCATGACTTACTATGGGACATTTTAACGCTTGTGTTGTAACATTGGTACTTATGTAAGCAACTTTTTAAAAATAAATTACATTAAATGTAAGAGTATGAAGTTATTCCCCTTATTACAGCAGTTTAAATCACAACATGGGCAGGTTTAAAACCATCAGATAACAAAAAAGGTAACAAAAACACATGTAGGCCTATATTAAACAATATATCCACTCTTATTATAGTATAAAGTTATAGAGCCTAAAAAATGAACAGCATGTTTCACACCAAATACAAAAGCAAAATATGTTTTATTGGCATAACAAGAAAATAAAAACATGTTTCAAGTTTGACACAACTTTTTATATTTGAGTATAAACTGTTGAAAGGTAAGAATGTGTCCTTGATACATCCAGTAGTTAGTTGTGTTTAAAAAGCTTACATACACTCCAACCCATTATCACAAACTTGGCAGTATGAATACTCAAGCTATAAAATACATCTCTCAAATGAAAGTCTGAAATACACTTTACTGAGATTACTGTATGTATTATTATAACTACACAATGGACATAATCAATATACATTACAGTATTAGACTTACTGTAAATCATAGTCGTTGTATTTATTTTACAGTAAATAGCGTCAAAACGACAGGCATACATTGTATCCAATCAGACGTGGCTCTTTTGTGGAGCTACATCCATGCTAGCCAATGGGATTCTGACCTCTTGTGTACATTATCCAATCACAGATCACTATATGCTGGAAGGGGAGGGCCTTGTTCTCCCTCGGCTTTGCCCAGTCCGGATGTTCCCCAGTAGCAAATAACGAGCAGCAGTGTGTTAATGTGGCAACCGAGGTAGACAGGGAGGGGTAGATAGACTGACCAGACCTGGGATTTTTGTATTTTTCCTTAATTTTTCTTTTCCTACTGAGCCAAGGGTTCACAGTTTATGTGACGCCTCGGTTGTTAACTTGTTCGTAGACGTGAAACCCCGACCGCTACTGCCTTTCTCTGGGACTTATCGTTACCGTGAAACAGCCCAGAAGAAAGAAGGGAGAAACAACATGGGGCGATAATAAAAAAAGGTGTTGTGTTATGAACCGACGATGACTCTCTGGGAAGATCCGTGAAGCATATTTATTTTTATTTATTCCCCCCTTCCTCCCTTTCCCTTGTGTCCATCTTTTGTTGTTTTATTTTTGAATTTTCTGCCCCCCTTGCTACTTCGGGAGGTTGTTTTTAAAAGGAAAAGGATACGTTACAAGAGGACTGAAGGATGGACCAAGCCGGCATCCTGAGAAAGTTTATCCAGAGGGTGAAGGCCATGAGCGAGGGGGACGAGGAGAGGGGAGAGGACAACTTCGGCAGCGACTTTATGGTGGGTTACATTTACATGAGCTTACCTAGCCTCCTTCACCTCTATATATCTCAACCAAACCTCCCTCCCCCATAATGTCCACATTTTCCTCCACACGTACCCTCAATATCCCACCCCCTCCCCGGTCCCTGTCTCCCCCAGGAGGTGAGGCAGGGGCGGCCACACTGCCCTCTTCCTTTTCCTCCCATTTCCAGGCTTTACATGGCGGCCTAGCATTGTCTCCCAAACCACAGACCACCGGCTCCTGTTTCTTTAAAATGCAGAGATAACAGCTAAACAACACACATTCACCCTCCAACCCCTGAGCTCATTTTATACATTGCTTTGTTGGATAGCTTAGCCTATCAGTGAATGCTGCCCTAAAGTGTTATTGTGGCTTATGTCTGATAGCCATGCCTGACTGTTAAGATACAGTGCATGATTCATTGTCCTCACTTAGCAGGATGTATTATCCCTGTGGACAGTTTTGTTATGGTCTTTTCTCTATGAAATATGTTAGGTATGATTGCTCATAGTAGTAGTTGTGAGCAGATATGTACTGTAGACACATCCACCTAAAGACTGTTAAACCAACGTTTGTGAAATATAGTCTTGCCAGTTTATTACACTCATTGATAAAATGATGTGCACAACGTATTGGAGACATTTTGCAATGCAATCAAATGTAGCTTACTACAATTGAGTAGTCTAGCCTTCGTGAGGGGTGTTGCATTAGACTGGCTACATGTACCTACAAAAACTGGCAAATAAGTGTAAGGCCCATAGATCAAATTATAAAGCATATTTTACGGTATTGTGTTAATCTGTTACACGTGGGAAGGCCCTTTTGAGGTGAAATAGAGACATTTGTTGTTAAAGTAACATTAAGTTAGCCTTATGATGACCGCTGCTGACCTGCAGTCATAAGTTTACCCACCCTGCATCACTGGATGTTGTTGTGGCCCAACTCTGACCCCAAAGAGGGCAAGTCCCAGGCTTGTGAAATTGCTGAGATATTTGCAACATCATGTGGTCATTTTTGTTTTAATGGCTGATTGATGTGAGACAATGTTGTGCTAACTGAGGGGATTTAATTTGTGAATCTAACCTTCATTAAATGTTCAGATACAATAGGCCTTTGTTCATTTGAATTAGTTGTAGTGGCAGATTGTAGGTTTAGCTTTCCTTTATGATACATTTAATGTTTCTGCCTACAGTTGCACACACACTTCGTTCTCCTTACTTCCCTACTTCATCCAAGCTGCTTGCTGGAGCTTGCAACATTCTTTCTTGGCCCATTTCATAACATTTTGTTCTGGCTTTAAAACTACAGCTTTATAGACACCTCTGCACACTTTGGATAACAGTTACACCATTTGTCAGGACATTTGTTACATAGCATAGCAGATTGACAAGTAAGGAAATGTGTGAATATTTGTCCATTTGTGGGCTGATAACATGACCTGTCCTGTGCTTCGAGCGAGTGTTTCATAAAACTGGGAGGAAGCGAGGGTTGCGTTAAGACCAGACCATGCAGGGCGTTGGGCTGTGAGAGGTATTGAGGAAGTGCATGTGATGAGAAAAAACAAATTATTATTTAACTTTATGCTATAGCCATTTAGTTGGAATTATTATCTAGTAGTTGTATATTTGCTTAAACTGATATTAAGCATGCATTTTTATTGGCTGACAGTTAATTTTCTAAGACTTCTTAATGTCAATTTTCCCAACAAAACATCCCGTCAGCCCCCGCTTTTTAATCAGATAACCGCTTTTCAAACGTTATGACATCACTGCTTGTCACGCCTTAACTCTTCATGTGATATCTGTTCAATTTCTTTTCAATAATCTTTATTGGCATGAAACCCAGTAATTCCCTTCTACAATGAGCTTCTGTGAGCCCTAGCACTCATCCCTTCAGGCAGTAACATCACCATTAAACAGCTGATGTGAAAAAGTAATGTATGTGCTCCAAGTATTTCTTAAATCTGGGTATTCACAATAATTAAAGTGGACCTATCATGCTATATTTGAAACATATATTGTAGGGCCATACCTATATAAAACATGTCTGTGAAGTCTTTTTTTCAAAATACCAAACAGATCATGCATTTTAGCCATGCCTCATTTCGCTCTATTTGCTCTTTCCCAGCCCTGTTTTTGCAAGGGCTGATTCTGCTTTTGTAGCAGACTACAGCGCCACTTACAGGCCTGGCATATGTACTACAGCGTCTCCAGCGCTTTTGAGCGGTCTCTCATTCCCCTGATAGGTGGAGAGTTGCCCATATAGGCGGAGCACCCCTTTTCTGACGTCAGAAAAATTCAAATAATAATCAGCTCCGTTGCAGCCCCGTTTTTAGAGATTTGGGTATGGAGGAAAAGAGAGAGGGTTGTGTTTTCTGACACTTGGTGAGTTCCCTGACACACCGGGGACACATTTTCATGTATAAAAGACGTACAAAAGTGCATTTTGCATGATAGGTCCCCTTTAAGTTATTTTGTGGAGTGTCAGCTTTATGGTATTTATTTTATGGAGCTTCAAGGATCTGGTAGTGAATTTAAAGTAGCACCTACATTATTCAGCCTACAGAACCGGCCTGTAGACCAGAAATGTTGTTCTGATGGAGAACATGCGGGTTGTGTCTGTGCCAGTGTACCGAGCACAATTAAAACTGCTCATCAGCCACAGGCAACATAAGTCAGTGCTTTAGCTGGTCGCTGCCGCTCTGTAGTACCAATTTCAAGCCTTAAGTCAAGCTTTCAATTGCTGGAGTCAAACTCACAACACCACAAGCGCATGGGGTGTGCTCCTTTGCACACTGAGTCACCAGAACACCCTGACATAACACCCACTTTAACTGCCTATTGTTGTTTATATATAGAAAGTGTTTTATAAGCATAATTACAGTGCTCTGCGAAGGCAACAAGTCCGATTATTTGCCTTGATGGTTCTTCTTCTGCAGCTTCTTCATGGAACAAGAACACTTCATTTCTGGCACCCAAATGTGTCCTTTAAAAAACAATTGCGACCCATTTAGACCGTCTCTTTTATAACAGGGTGTTGTTAATTATAAAGAATTTTGTTTAGCAACATTCATATGGAGACGGCTGATCTCATGACATGGCACATACTGGTGCATGTGTTGCGATGACATCGGAGTGTTCCATGAAGTGTAAGGAGACAGCTTCAAGGTGTAAATTAGACTCACTTCAGTCATAACCCTGGTGTTTTAGTAACCGAAATAACTACATTGGTGGATTTAGAGATTTAAGCTTCAGCAATGATAGCATGCAGCTTGTAATCAACAAAACAAACACTATGATAATTTAAACCAATCTGGTCTGATGATAATGGCTTCATTCAAGGGGATACAAAAGGGATGAACGGTAATATTTACTGTCGAAGTGTATCTTCTAACGCAGGTTCTGCATCATTGGAACATCTATGCATTCGCTGTTCACAAAACAAACAATGGCAATCTGACTTGTTTTACAAGGGTAGTTATCAACCAGCTCTGTCAACCCACCACTTTCCAAACCAGCTATTAGTGCGCTTATGTAAGCGAGGACCGAGGTTTTTTGTGTGTGCAAATAGCCCGTTACAGGGGCATTGTTATGGACCCATCCAGAGAAGATTTTAAAAGAAGATACAATATTTGGGGAATACTTGCTCATTGCTCAAAAAGAAACAATATAAACAACCAGAATCAGGGTCAGAAATAATTGTGGGCAAAGGGCAACTGTGCCACCAAACACACATTTGTTGTGTGATTGTGGCCAGTAAACACTTTTATTTTGAACCAAACACTAACAAAGTAAGACCAGGGGTGTCCAAACTACGGCCCGGGGGCAAAATGCGGCCCGCGGGCCATTTTGAATCGGCCCTCAGCAAATTAAAAAAAGTATAATGGAGTATGGCCCAAAAATGAAACTCGTGCTTGTTTTGTATTGTACTTCTTAAATATATATGAAAACAGATATTACACAGTATTCATGTGTTAAGAAGCCCACTCTTCAAATAAATTCAGTCAATTCAAGTTTAAAACAAATCTAACTTGATAAGAAAAAAGCCCAATAACTTATTTTCATAACACGCTTGAAATATATCCTTCCTATGTCCTCTTATGATAAGCAATCTGAGGCTTCTGTTTTAAGGAATGAGCTGCTCCCCTTTTGAGAGCTATGATGTAGGCTGTTGTTTTTCTTAAAGCATATTCAAGTATTAAGCATAATTTACCTACATTTCATTGATTTTGCTGACTTATAACTTAACTTACGAGGCAATATACCTCACCTCTAGTGAGTGGCCCAGCCCTTCGTATATTTTTCTGTAAGTGGCCCTCGGAGAAAAAAGTTTGGACCCCTGATCTAAACCTTGAATTTTCCTCCAAAATATAACAGAAGAATGTAACATAGTTTTCGTTATGACGGCTAAATAGGACTTCTAAATTGTAGTCGATCTGAATGAAAGAAAACCCACAATATCACCAGAGTTTTCATCGTAAACCCTTTGGTTTTTCTCGCCCTGTTTCTTACAGTCCAGGTCATTTGCTGCCACACGCTTATCCACTGATGTTGACTTTTCCGTTTGAATAAGGTTACATTTAGTTTTGACCAGAACATTCTAAACTCATGTTGCTGACTCATAATTCGGGTTTGTGAACGCAGATCCACACATTCTGCACAGCGACACAGCTGCTGTTGTGAAGGCAGTATTTCGCCCTTCAGGTTTGATGTCACTTCCTGTGGGCACATTCATTCTCTCTGTTTGACTTCAATTAGGGCAAAGAGAGAGAAGCAATTTAGGGACGCTGGTGGACTTTCATGTAGGGTCACGTTTTGATAATGCAGTTAATTGATTGTATATGTCTTTAGAGTTGAGCTTGAGGACATACAAACTGCAGGGATTGGGACCTCTGTGTTATGAGACATCTCTGTATCTGCTAGGCCAGGGGTTCCCAAACTTTTCAGCCTGTGACCCCCAAAATCACTGTGCCCGTGACTGGCGACCTCCCGCCATG